GAGTATTAAGTGTTGTAGAAATCTTAAAGATACAAACAGTGAATATTCTTGGCAAGGAAATTGGAAGAGAACGGGGGCCTGAAATCTTCTACATGTTAAATATGCAGTTTGTTTGACGTTATTATTCGAAAAATTAGTGTGGGTATGACTAGAAATGCTCCCAACACACTAAGCGCAACTACATCAGATTCTTTGATCCTAAGCTGCATACCTCCAGTTAGTACTCACCTACTGTTTGATATATCTATGTAATTTTTTTGCGAATTTGTTGGAATAATTGTTTGTTTTCCTGCGGGTATTTCTTCCCGTCTTTAACAGCTTTCGATAAGTTGAGATTTTTCCGCACTGCGTTTTTCATAAAGGATGTGCTTTTAGTTGCTGGCAGAAGAAGAAACAGTGAAATGTACGAAAATGGATGTGTGTAATCTGGCGATGGTAATGGCACCAAATGTTCTGAGGTGTGGCAGTGACGATCCACGTGTTATCTTTGATAACGCGCGACGTGAAATGACCTTCCTCAAAACGCTTATTTTACACTACGATACATCTTTTATACGTACCCTCTCATGATTTTTTTTTTTTTGAAATTAGCTAAGTAAATATCCGGTTTAATAATAATAAGTGCAGTCTTTAAAAAGCTTTAGTAAGCGTTTTAAATTTTTAGTTTTTAAAAAGCTTTATCATTTTTATCTGGTTTTTTTGTATTAGCTTTTTTTTAATTTTGGTTTATAGCAATTCGGTTTTGGGCGTTTTATTTATGATTTTTGATTAATGAGGATTTTCGGGTTTTGTCAGGAAAATTCTGCGGAAAATGTACCATCGTAGATTAACAGGGGAACGAAAGAGTACTTCTGTCCATGTTGTTTAAGTGCTAAAGCTGGTATGACTTCTTGTTGCGAGGGCGGTGGTCCCATTCTTGTACGAGAAGCCACAATGAGGTACTTGCACCTCGCGTAGAAGGTTGAAAATAGTGATGCTTTTAATTAAGGTATGAAAATTGGTACTTTTTCCGTTTTATGTCAGAAGTCGATGAGATATCGAAGGTTATTTTGAGCGTTTGCCATTCCTAGGGCGCAGTGGGGTACCTTATCCAGTAGAACTAGTGCCAAATTAGGTAATAAATGAAATAAAAGCATCACCGGTGTATCTCGAAATGCAATAGCTAGTAACAAGTGTTTTTTGTTGTAACACAAATGCCTATCATCAGCTTTGTGCTCATTATTACCAGTAAGCTTACTTTTTTTTCAGTTGTTTTATGAATGTAGTAATTCTTTGATATGATTGTTTTTTGAAGGGTAAGCTCATCGCTGTTGCTAAAGTGTTTTTTTCTTTTGGTTACTTTTAAAATACCTTTTTCATCTCACAATGAAATGTTTGAAAATGATAGGACTACCCCACCCTTGGTTACTTTCTGACTCCAGCCACTCAACCTTTTCTTATTCTTTGAACCGACCACTTTTTTTAAGCTGATTATAGCATGATTGTAGCATACAAGTAATATTAAGAACTTAAATAGGGCAGAAATAGAACGATGTATTGATGGATGTAGAAATATAGCTGGTGAAGAAAAAATAAGTACGAAAGAGTTAAGATGTTTCAGTCAATTAAGTCATATACGTCTTAGCTACGATTCGGCCTTCTAACGTAATTTATTATTCCGTCTAGGAATGTATTCGGTAAAAAAATTTTTTTTGAAGCAGCCTCGAAAAGACCAGAAAAAATGACATTACACGTGGAACATCGGTTTTGATGTAAGAAATTCTGAAGTTTCAGGGAATTTTGATTGCTTCTTGTTGAGGGTACTCGCTGGAAAAGCCGGCAAAGGGGTAGTAAAAAATTTATGCTGCTTGCAGCTAATATCTTGCTACTAAGGAGGGAATATTCGTGGCTACTATTACAAAGAGGTACACATAATTTAATCGTTAGGTTTTGGGGGCATAAGGTCCTTGGTAATGGAATGGTTAACACGGCACGATTCGAAAGATCAGAAGTTAGTGAAAATGGGTGGTTCGATTCTCTCCCCACTCCATTTTTTGCAAAAACAACCCTGTTTGTGACACCCCGACTCCTTATCTTATATTTGTTTTGTGATGTTTATCCGGTACTTATCCTTTTACCTGTGGTTATTTTTTTTTATTTTCAGTGTTTTTTTTTGCTCTGTGATTTTAAGCAATGTGGATCGAAATGATAATACTGAATTTCGGCAATGAATTGTAGCCCACAGCACTACTAGCAGCTTTTTATTATGCTTTATATTAAATGATTTTTTTTTTGTAATTGTTTTGATTTAGGGCTGCGAAAAAGGTGTAATTCTGACCGCTGTTAAATTATTTTTAGATGAGTTATGGTTCTAATTCACGGATCATCATACCCATAGTGCGCCTGGATTTATCGCAAGAAATAATGCCCTCGGTGAAAGCTTCTTGCATTCGCAAGCTCGATCATGAGCATAACACGATTTTCCGGCAGAATTTCTTCGCAGCCTTTTTCCGGTTTATTAAACGATGCCATAATAGTTATACATCTGGGAGATGCATTGATGTTGCTCTAATCTAGTCGAGTTGTACCACTGTAGATGCTTTGTTATATTGTGATTCTGTAAAAATGAGTTTTTCGTTTTCTTTTTTGAGAATTGATAAAATACCTCATCATCGTTATGAGGACCATCATGTTGCGCTTACTCAAGCACTGTTTACTCTACCTCAGAAAAATAACTAAATAAATATAAGCATAATTCTATCATAATGCAACTAGAAAGAAATATGTAAGTCTAACCGACCAACTTTTAATATTCAGTCAACTTTTAATCGGAACTTTGAAAAGAAAAAACAATTCATTCAGCGGATTCTTGAAAAATGTCCGAACATTTTATATTTTAAATATTTTGTATATAAGTTTAAATGATTCTGATCAGCCAATACTGTATTTTTAAATGATATATTCAAGTAATTTTATACATACATATTTAAATGATCACGATTAGCCAATACTGTAGCCGTCGTACTTACGATGTCCAGTTGTGGTGCTGAATAGGAATGTATATAATCAGAGTCCGTAAGGCTGAGTGAAAATAGTCGTAAGGTTTAAGATCATAGAATTTCGGTGATATTGAGTGCCTTTTTGGAAATATTCATTTGGTCCAGAGTTCAGCTGGGTTCTGTTAGTGAGGTAGCCTGTCGCTCGGTAATGGCATATACCAGGGAGTCAAAACCATCGTCAGTTGTAAGCAGCTTTCGAAAGAAGCAGCTATCCTAACATGCATTTTCTATTAGCACTTCTAATCCAGGCTGTTTTCAAATCCCTGAGCTTTTCAAGGGACGCGGATGCGGAGACGATTTTATGTGTAATAGACTATAATTTTTAATTGGGTTAACTGATAGTTGAGGCTTGGTTTTCTTTTTTATTATGCGTTTTGTGCTGTGTAACAGCAGTACAAAACGCATATTGTTACGGGGTTGTCTG